GGAGGAAGTAGACAAGGGTAAAGAAGAAAGATTTGAATTTGAAATTGGAGGGAAGAAAGGTAGAGCCGTGGAGGAGGGAGGTGGAGTTGCTGGTATTGATGATATGGACGGAAAGATAGAATCATCGAATTTAACATGACGAGATGAAATCGTTGTTTGAGTGATGGGATCAAAACATTTGAATCCTTTTTGATTGAGGGTGTAACCGAGAAAAATACAGGGTATAGATCTGGGAGCTAGTTTGTGAGGGGAGAGTGGTTTGGTCCAGGGGAAACACCGGCAGCCGAAGGTATGAAGAGATGAATAATCGGGTGGAGTTTGATATAGAAGGTGATATGGAGATTTAGAAAAGGTATTTGTGGATGGTAATCTATTAATTAGAAAGGCCGCGGTGAGGACGGCATCCGACCAAAATGAGGAAGGTAAATTAGCATCAATGATAAGAGCTCGTGCGGTTTCTAGGAGATGCCGATTCTTTCGTTCAGACACTCCGTTTTGCTGTGGAGTGTAAGGACAAGTGATTTGGTGTGTAATGCCACGCTGTGTAGTGAAGGCCTGTATTGTTTTATTTTTGAATTCGCCGCCACCATCACTACGGAGAGTGCGAACGGTATAATTTAGTTGTTTTTCAACAGACGTTAGGAAGCGTATTAGACAGAGAGCAACATCTGATTTCTGTTTAAGTAAGAATAGCCATGTGTATTTGGTATGATCATCAATGAAAATAAGAAAGTAGCGAAAACCATCGTAAGAGAGAACGGGGGATGGACCCCAAACATCCATGTGTATTAATTCTAAGGGAAATTTAGATACATGTTTAGAAGCAGAAAAGGGAAGCCTGTGACTCTTTGCGAGTTCACAGGAGTTACATAAAGAGCGTAAAGAGGTAACATGAAGAGAGGGAAAAGCTTTAGCTAATGCAGTCATAGTCTTGACATTTGGGTGTCCAAGTCGGCGATGCCAAGTGAGGGATGTAGAGGAAGGAGCAACAGTAGTTGAAGCAGCGACGATTGATGGCTGGGAGGGAATGGGATATAAGCCATTAAGGCATCGTCCGCGGAGTAGAGACTGATTGGTCCTCGTATCCTTAACACGAAAACCAGATTTGTCAAAAGTGATAGAGCAATTGTTGTCATTGGTGAGTTTGGAAATAGAGATTAAACGATGTGATAAACTTGGTACATGAAAGAGAGGAGTAAGAGCAAGCTTACGGGTCGGTGTGGGAAGAAGACCATTACCAACATTCTGGATAGGAAGTGGATTACCATTGCCAACAAGGACTTGATCTCGGCCATTGTAGGGAGTGGATTGCTGAAGGGGAAGAGGATCCGGGGTCAGATGTGCTGAAGCTCCGCTGTCTAGGTACCATGGAGAAGAATCAGATTCAGCAACCAGAGCAACGCTGGAGTTTGAAGACGGAGTGTAATTGAAGTTGCCACGGTGCCAGCAGTTGGTGGCTGAATGGCCACGTTTGCCACAGATTTGGCAATCACCATCAAAGCGTGGAGTGCGTGATGCAGTTCGAGGTATATTGGAGGAGACGAAGCGACCACGACCACGGTTGGAGGAGGAGCGTCCGCGGGATCTTCCTCGATTGGAAAACAGAGCAACTTGTCCGTCTGAAGGAGAGGTAGTAGAGAATGAGAGTTCACGGATAGCATCTGTGGTTTGATGAACCTCTTCACTTCGAAGAAGAGAATATAACTCATCTAAAGAAATGGGGTGCAGAGAGCTGCGAATGGTTGTTTTAAAGGATTGATAAGAAGGAGGGAGGCCATTAAGGATATGATGAAGAATGTCTTCATTGTCCACGGTTCCTCCAGCAGCTCGAATGTTGTCTACTGTGGTTTTGACGGACGCCAAATAGTCTGTCATGGTCTTGTTTAACATGGAGAGAGATTGTAGCTCATTCTTGAGTTGTATAACTCTAGAGCGATTGGTAGAGAAAAAACGTTGCTCTAATGTCTTCCAAATTGATGCAGAGGTATCCAATGTGAGAATGTAGGGAAGAATAGGTGGAGAGATCGTAGAGAAGAGAGCAATGGAGAGATTTTGGTCTATTAAGGTCCAAGTGGAGTGTTGAGGATTGAGAGAGAGCTGACCAGAGGCTGTAAGAAGGTGTTTGGGTGGAGGTAGAATGGTTCCGTCGAGATAACCGGAAAAATGATTTGCAGCGAACAATTTATAGATCGCTGATCTCCATGTTGGATAGTTTTCTGGTGAGAGCTGAACGTTTATTACGTTCTTGATATTTGCTAAGAGAAATTTGAGAGTTGCAGGGATGACGACGTCTGTGGTGGTTGCTGGAAGATCAGCTGTGACCGCTGCACCGGAAGGAGTGCTGGGAGCAGAGGCTGTTGAGTGAGCCATGGAGCGGAGAAGCCGTTAGGCAATCGGCTCTGATACCATGAAGAGATCTGGTATACCGAAGAACAGCATCGCAGAGAACTCGAACATGAAGTAAAGCAGGAAGAAGATGAACAGTGAAATGGATGATTTCATTACATTAACTAATTTCATTACATTGGTATAAATAAGTGAAAGAGTTGCTTAGTGCAATTACATCATTGCCCCTTGACAGTTATAAAGTAGTCAGATGGCAGGAGAAAGTGGGCAACGGTTCTGCTGTGCGCCGACGGGCTCTGCTCCAGCTTTAGCGAATGATTTGGGTGTAGTGGATGATGCAGTAACCATGTCAAGTAGAACTCCACTTGCACTAAATTAAAAAGTCGTCCCAAACGAAGCCTACGACTTCTTCTTTTTTGAAAAAGCCGAAGTACTCCACTTGCAATAAATTAAAAAGTCGTCCCAAAAGAAGCCTAAGACTTCTTCTTTTTTGAAAAAGCCGAAGAACTCCACTTGCAATCATCCAATAGACTTCTTCCCTTGTTTCTTGGATGGCACTCCTCTTCTGTCATTCCTCTTCCTCTTCTCTCTTTGTTGTTTCTTGTTGTGAGATTTTCTATATAAGAGGATTACATTAATTTATGCAATGAAGAGTTCACCTTCTAACATTTTTGATGAACCACTTCAAAGTTTTTTGCAGCATGTATGTATTGTAGATTTTTTCGGTAATTTTCTTTTAGAACAATTAGTAGTATTTATTGAGGACTTTATGGTAACCACCATTTGAGACTTTTTGATAACATCCAATTACAACTTATTGTACCTATCTATTGTTAAAAATCAAGTTCAAATCTTATTCAAGATCGTTAATAAAATTAGAATCCGCAATTAACAATAATAGGATAAAAAAGACTTCGTAAACTATAAGAGAATCTAATAACTATTTTAATTAAAGCTTCATTTAGGACAATTTTAGACCTCTATTTTTTTCTGTTTTACATAGCAATACCGGGTTCCGGTCCGGGTCGGTTCGTCGGGCCGCGCGGTAAAAAGTAAGAACACGTGGCGACATGTTATTGACGTCTGGATGTAGAGCTACGTCAGGTGTCCAGACCTAATAAAAATTCCTAACATAGATGGACTAACCACAATTCTATAAAATTAATCTTTTAAGGCTTCGTTTGGGGCAGCTATCTTGTTGCTTTCTAAAGTAAATTTTTAATACAAAATTTCTAGTTTAAGATTTTTTGTACTTAAAAACTCCATAAAAATCAGCAATAAAGTTGTCCCAAATGAAACCTAAGGTTTAGCTTGGGACGGCTTTCATACAGCTTTTTAAAACAGCTTTATAGTACAAAAATTTTAATTCAAAAAAATTTTGTACCAAAAAACTATTTAAAAGATAATAAGGAAGCTGTCTCAGGTTTCGTTTTGAACAAATTTTTTGTTACTTTTAAAGCAGCGTATTAGTAGAAAAGAATTTCAAAAACAGTGGCAAAAAATTGTCTCGAACGAAGCCTAAATTTTAATGATATTCTCTAATGAGATATTTATGTGAAGACATTTCTTCATCTTAACCACCACGCATTAGCTCCAAAATTTATATTATCATCTACATCCTAATTCATTTATAAAATAAATCATTTGTTTTAACCTACAAATTTTGGTGTCATTTGATATCCAAATAAAAAAAAAAACTCAGAAATACATATTTCCATACAAAGGGTGAACAAAATTACCTGAAGAAACAAAGAACCGATCCGACATGAACTAATATAATAATTTGGGTCAATTATCATCAACATTGTTTGATTTTACTTTCTCAAAACGTAGACCCAATGTAATAGATCGGTCTCATTTTCTCTTGTGAAGTAATTCAAAACAAAACCAAGTTGAAACCTAAAGTATTATGGAAACTAATTTAAAGATAATTCAATGAATACTTAGGCTTCATTTGGGACGGCATTTTTTTTACTTCTTAAAGCATCTTTTTGAGTACAAAATGAAAAAATTTTGTACTAGAAAGCTGCTTTAAGAAGCAGAAAGAAAGCCGTCCCAAACAAAGAAGCTTTAGTCTTGATTTGCCATAACTTTATACTACTGTTTTTTCCTACTTTTAAGATAAGTTTGTACTAAAAAGTAGTTTTACGGCTTTATTTGGGACAACTTTCATACAGTTTTATAAAACAAATTTTTAATTAAAAAAAAATTTGATAAGAAAATTTTGTACTAAAAAATTATTTTAAAAAGTAACAAGAAAGCTGTCACAAATAAAACTTTAAACGAATCCCTAACAATTTTGCTCTAAATGTTGAAGCTTTAAATGATTCTAAGTAATACGTGTATTGTATCTTATACCTCTGTACATGTAAATTGCTTAAAAGCTGAATATTAAAATTACGCAGTGTATGATATTTTGGTTTATTCGAGTTTTAATTGAAATAATTGGGATAAGGTATCTTTATCTCTGATATCCTTGGCCGTTTTGTACTTTCAGGCTTAGTTTGGGACGGCTTCCATTCTGTTTTTTAAAGCAACTTTTTAGTATATATTAAAAATTTTGTACTAAAAAGCTTAAGAAGCGAAAAGCCGTCCCAAACGAAACCTCAATCACCAAAAGCATTTCAAATATCTATACCGTTAGACTCATTCCAGCTTCAACAATATCTGAAGTATAATGCAAAACACAACTCAATATTACAGGTGTGGCAATGTTACAACTCCTAAAAGAATTCAATCACCAAAATTCCCCACAAGAACAGGACCCATCTTCAAAATGGTGGAACCTATTCCTATCCCTCACAACAATCTTCCTCCCAGTAATCTTAGAAATGAACTTTGTAAATGTATGGCAGTCACTGCAAACTCGAAGGTTCTTTACAATCCTGATCGTCGTCCCAGGTGGAGTGCTGATCAATCCAAAAGCAACAGCCAGCTTCTCACTGTGCACTGCGAGCGCTCGCTGCTTCTGTGCTTCTTCCAAATCATGAAGAACCAGGTCTGTCTGAGGAATATAGCCTTGAGCTTTAATCAGCACATTGAATTCTTCCAGCACTGCATATATCTGTTTGCTCAATGGATGGCTCAAATCTCCCACCATAAACTCATATACCTGTCTATCAACCTCAATGGAGCTGCAACCAGGCTCCTTCTGAATCCCACCCTTCTTCATAAACCTCCTGATTCCAGCCACATCCTCCCATTTCCCTAAAGCCGCATAAATGTTCGACAGAAGCACGAAAGTTCCCGAGTTTGCAAGGCCATTTGCAAGTAGGAAGTTTGCAATCTTCTCTCCAAGTATCATGTTCTTGTGAAGCTTGCAGGAAGCCAAAAGAGAGCTCCATAACACAGGATCAGGCTTGATTTTCATGCTTGTGACTAGATCATAGGCCTCTTCAACAAACCCAGTGCGGCCAAGAAGATCAACCAGACATCCATAGTGTTCAATCTTGGGCTCAATGTTGTGATCTTTTACCATAGAGGAAAAGAATTCTCGCCCTTCGGTCACAAGACCAGCGTGGCTACAAGCATTTAAGACGCCAATGAATGTGATGTCAGTGGGCTGAACTCCAGTTTTTTGCATCTCTGAGAAAAATCTAAGAGCTTCCCTGCTCTGTCCGTGCATTGCATAGCCTATAATCATGGAGTTCCAGGCAACAACATCCTTGTTTGGGATACTGTCAAAAACCAAGAAAGCTTCTTGAATGCTCCCGCATTTACTGTACATGTCGACCAAAGCTGTGGAAAGACGCAGAGTGAATGTAATCTTGTTGTTCTTTGCATAAGAATGCACCCACTTGCCCGTCGACAACGAACCCAGCTGAGCTACTGAGGCCAGAACTGAGACCAAAGTCACCTCATTGGGCTTCAAGCCAGACCTCAGCATTTGCTGGAAAAGCATTATTGTATCATTGGGCCGGCCATGCTGAGTATAAGCATCAATCAACGTGTTCCAGCAAGCACAGTCTTTCTCAGGCATTGCATCGAACACCTTATACGCAAGTTCCAGCCGACCAGCTTTTGCATAACAAGTGACCATGGCAGTGAAGGAAACTATGTTACGCATGGGCATCACGTCGAACACCTTCTGGGCGGAGGACAAATCGGCGCCGCGCGCATACATGTCGAGGAGGGAGGTGGCGACATAGGTGTCGGATAGCAGGGAGTGCTTGAGGGAGAGGGCGTGTAGAGCGCGGCCGAGGTTGATGGGGGAGGCCTTGAGGGCGGAGGAAAAGGTGAAGGCGTTTGGAGTAGGGGAGGATGGAGAGGAGAGCATTTGGGAGAAGAGGAGGAGGGCGGAGTGGTGAAGGCCGTGGAAGGCGTGGGAATGGATGATTGAAGACCAGAGGAAGACGTTGGGATCGGGAGTGAGGCGGAAGAGGGAGAGGGAGAGATCGGGGCGGCCGATGGCGGAGTAAGAGCGTTGGAGCTTGAGGTTGACGATTGGGTGGAGGTGGTGGCCGGAGCGGAAAGCGACGGCGTGGAGCTGGAGGAGGTGGCGGTGGGTGGAGCCGGAGCGCTCTATTTGAGCGGCGAGGGTTTGGGGGGCGGGCAAATTATTGGGTCAGGTGACCGAAGCCATCTCTCCGTTCGGTCGCCAATAAAAATGCGCCATCTGTCAGTCGTTTTTTTAATTTAATATTAACGCTTTATGTCTTGTCAGAGTTAGCGACCCGACCCGATAACGCTATTCTATTGGCGAAGAAAGAATGGAAACGCCGCGCATTTTATTTTCGAGCGACATTTTCACTGTTACTCGAGCTCTCGGATTCCTCCATTACCTTCGGTTCTGCATTTGCTTATTCCTGCCGGAGGTAGACGACGATACTGTAGAAGACCAGCAATCAGGAAGAGGTATGGTTGCGCCTAACTTGCGCTTTACTTGCGCTTTACTTGCGCTTTCGTTGCGTTAAAGTTATATTGCCGTTAAATTTTAGGGTTTGGTTTACTTATAATTTTACCAATGTTTCCTTTCAAATATTTATTTTCTGATTTTTCACGCTTCTTCTCTTCGTAAATGGATGAAGCAAATGATACGAAAGGTTTACGCTATCTTCTAAGTTTTAGGGTTTAGTAATAGTTGTAAAACTAGAATATATGTTCAATGTGGTTTTCAATTTTTTGGTTTTTTTTTATTTTAAACTTTTTTAAGCTAAATAATTACGAAATATAAGGTTGCGCTATGGTTGCGCTATGGTTGCGCTATGGTTGCGCTATGGTTGCGCTATGGTTGCGCTATGGTTGCGCTATGGTTGCGCTATGGTTGCGCTATGGTTGCGCTATGGTTGCGCTATGGTTGCGCTATGGTTGCGCTATGGTTGCGCTATGGTTGCGCTATGGTTGCGCTATGGTTGCGCTATGGTTGCGCTATGGTTGCGCTATGGTTGCGCTATGGTTGCGCTATGGTTGCGCTATGGTTGCGCTATGGTTGCGCTATGGTTGCGCTATGGTTGCGCTATGGTTGCGCTATGGTTGCGCTATGGTTGCGCTATGGTTGCGCTATGGTTGCGCTATGGTTGCGCTATGGTTGCGCTATGGTTGCGCTATGGTTGCGCTATAGTTGCGCTATAGTTGCGCTATAGTTGCGCTATAGTTGCGCTATAGTTGCGCTATAGTTGCGCTATAGTTGCGCTATAGTTGCGCTATAGTTGCGCTATAGTTGCGCTATAGTTGCGCTATAGTTGCGCTATAGTTGCGCTATAGTTGCGCTATAGTTGCGCTATAGTTGCGCTATAGTTGCGCTATAGTTGCGCTATAGTTGCGCTATAGTTGCGCTATAGTTGCGCTATAGTTGCGCTATAGTTGCGCTATAGTTGCGCTATACTTGCGCTATACTTGCCCTTTACTTGCGCTATACTTGCCCTTTACTTGCGCTATACTTGCCCTTTACTTGCGCTATACTTGCCCTTTACTTGCGCTATACTTGCCCTTTACTTGCGCTATACTTGCCCTTTACTTGCGCTATACTTGCCCTTTCAGGCTGTATACAAAGATGAGACAGAAGCATATGAATGTTTTTGCACTTATGCTCACGATAATGGCTTTAGTGTCCGAAAGGATCATCACAGTTTTTGGCCAAATTCTAGGAAGATAAAATCGAAGGACTTTGTTTGTTCAAAAGCTGGTTTCAA